GTCATGAAGGTGGATGTCTTGAGTACAGTGGAGGCCCATGCCAAGAAGCATCCTGTTTGCCTCCAGGGTGCCCTGGGTTTCTGGGTTTCGGATGATTGCTTGCCATGGAACGCGTGACGTTCCCACGCCAAAAAACGATGGACGCCCTGGGGTCTCAGGGTTGAGTTTCAGGGTTGAGTTTCTTGTGGAAGGTTTCTTGTGGTCGGGCCCCTACTGTATCGGCACAGATGGCGGCTTACTCGCTCCAGAAGTCGATGACGGTGCCGATCCTTGTGCGGGAGTCGGCTCCAGCTTCGTTGGAAGGGTAACAAATTCTGTCTGCTCTGTAGGCGATACCACTGCCGCGTCCGCGTTGATCTTCATGCCTAGCTGGATGATGTGTTTGACTGGTGCCTCGATGCGAGGCCTTGCCGAAACTGATTGGGCTGGCGTTCCAAGTTAAATGTCTTCGGTGCCACTGCAGACCAAGTGATGACTATGAAACCAAGATTATTCACCATCGTAATATTCATATTGACTTGCTTCGGTTTCGTCAGAGTAGCTACCATTATTGCCGTACTTCTTGCCATTCGTGCTCTTCCACGCTTTGCCAACGCCTTTTCCACCACTTCCAGGAGAGTTGTTCTTTTTGCCGTTCGACTTTTTGCGATACTTCCTTTCGTTGTTCTTGTATTTGGTCTTGCATTTGTTGCCGTAGTAGTCCGAGGGTGTCGTTGATGATGTTTGAGTTTTGTTTGGGTTTTCTGAAGAAGGCGGTCAGAACTCGCATGAAATGGAGAACCACATGTCGTACAGCCGTCGTTTGACTTGTTGGACGATGCCTTTCCACTCGTGCCTTTGAACTTGCCACGCCCACGCCCTTTTCCTTAGCTTCGGCCGCCATAATAGTCCTCCTATTCGAGTTCGTAGCCATCCTCGTGGTAGGCACCGTCTCCTTCATCATATTAGCTGTCCCAGTCGGTCTCGTCGCCATACCAGGAGGATCCTTCCGTCCACTCGTCGCCGTAGCCGACCACGACAACGATTCATCTCACCACCAAGACTATGGACTCTCGTAGTCTGGGCAGCCTGACTGCCAGTAGGCACCCTTGTCTGTCCAGCATTGTGAGACCATTGACGGGATTGACGAGTTGGCGCCTTGAAATTCATGATTGGCCATTCTCTGCATCAAAGTTACGAATCCAGGATATCGGTTGAGATTTCCCTGCATCTGCATTCGAAGATTTGTCTGCATACGTTCCGAACGGCCCGACATGTGTAGGAGAAGAGAACTATTGCCAACATTGTTCAACTGCAAACCACCACGATCCGAAGCTTACTCGAGCACAGTCTGAACATGGTGAGAAAATCGTTAATCGGCAGGTCGCCTCGGTGCAAGGAAAAGAACGATGACAACGCAACAATACTCATATCTTGATCTTGAATCTCGAACTCATGTACCAGCAGATCCATCAGTAGTGAAGCCCCTGCTGGCTCCGCTGCATGCACTGCTCCAAGAGCGTCTTGTCACTCTGGGTGTGACGGCTGAGCCAGTAGTTCGTCTCCTTCGATTTCGCGTCTAACTCATTGCCAGCTGGAACGCTGCGCCGCGTAGGCGCCCTGCCATTCGTTGCCGGACCTGCTGCATGTTCTGGTAGGTCTGGTCTGTTTGTCGCCGCCACAATCGAAGCAATTGGATATAGCGTCGGAGCGGGTACCTCTGATTGCCGGGCCGCCAGCCCGGTGGCGTGTTCTTTTTGTTGAAGCATGGCTGGACCCAAACGCTTTTGCTGGATTTCGTCTGTGTTTTGTTTTGCGCTTTGGGAGGGAGGTGCAGGAAAACAGGTAGAGCAAAACGAACAAAACTAAACCAGAACGAAAAACAACGTTTAGATCCAGCCCCCTTTGTTGAAGACGTCGAGTGCGATGCCCCTTGAGCTGGCGTTGCCGTTGACATCCACGGTGAAATTTCTGCTGCAGTCTGGGCGGAGTGCTCCTCTCGTCAGCGGCGCCGCCTGCCGGGCGGCGCATGCAGTGAGGAGGGACGTAGTGCAGCTGCTGCCTCGCGCCCGCTGAAGCTGGTCTTCGCGAACTTCTCCTGCTGCCGACACACGTATCGGGGGCGGCCAAAGAGGGAGGTGATGACTGGGGGGGGGGAGATCGTAGCGTGGGCCATGATATTTCATCTGATTTCATGGCGCCCCTCCTTGTTTAATTGCGTACCTGGGCCCCCCCCCCCCATCTGGGCCGCGCACATGCCGCTGGCCATGATTTGCGCCCCCCCCTTGTGGACGCCCTTGAATGTCGGCTTCTTGACGGCCTCTCTCTGGAACCTGTCGGTGAAGCTGCGGGCAGGGAGAACGGCGTGTCTCAGAGGACCTGCCACCATATCGGCGCTGCCAGAGTTGGCTTTCCAGTGAGGATGTCAAACCAGATGGCCTGAGCCAGAAAGTTACCGTACACACGGTCAACGTTTAATTCCGAACATGATATGGAAGTTTCTGAAACGTTTGAAATTCAATTGGGGGGAGCAGGGAGAGCGGAAGGGGAGGGAGAGGGAGGACGGAGGATGAGGAGGACGGAGGAGGACGCAGAGCGGAGGAGGAGAAGGAACAGGAGTACAGTCAAGTTGCATAGTACGGATGGGCAACCTTCCCACAGGTATTTTTGCATCTTCGCCTCCTCGGTCCATCATTGGCCGATTTCGCTGGCTCACCTCGTCCGAAAAACGTGAATGTGGCCCTCCAAGGCCCTTGCGTCTTTACCGCGCATCCTTATTATACGTGTTGACTGTAGCGCAAGCCCAAGATGCATGAACGTTGTTTCAATAAACCCTCCCTCCAAGCTCCCTCTTCACATATCCCTGCAAGATTTCGTTCTAATTGCGGGAAGCGCCCCACTCGAAGACAGCCGTTGGAGAACCCTCAAGCATGCCGCAACACCACCCATGGGATTCCAGCGCTGCGAATCAACGGACAAACTGGCGCGGTGCCAGGCCGAGAGCCACCCTGTGAAAACGACCCGCCCTCCATCCGCGAAACGGTTGCCAGCTTTCAGGGCGAATGCGCGCGGCGCCAAGGCGAGAGTCACATTCTGAAAACGACCCGCCCCCCCGTCCGTGAAACTGCAGACCGTGAAACTCCGTCACACGTTTGAAAGCAAATGTGTGTGTGGCGCTGGGGCGGGAGCCACATTTCGAAAGCGTGCCGCCCTCAATCAGTGCGACTGTTGCAAATTCCAAACGCTACGCGTATCCCCACCAGCGCGTAGCGTCTGGAATTTGCAACAGTCGCACCGTCTGGATATGCGTATCCCCACCAGCCCTTCGGGATGCGCAAGCCGCACACCGCCTTGGTACCAGAGGCCATCGCGGGCGCTCTCCTTTGTGGTCGGCCATCTCCAGGCATTGGCCCGAACCCCCTCAGCGGCGTACAGTCTGGCCGACGTTCCAAGTGAGTGAGTGGTTTGGGCACCTTCCGCCTGGCTGTCTGGCCCCACCTGCGGGTCCGAGCTGTCCGCCCTCCCCACTCTCGCTGGCATACGCTCAGCGGCTGGTACTTCTCATTTGCATCCTTTGCTGGCACATGTCCAGCGTTGTTAATTTTCTGCTGCTGGCACATGCTCAGCTGCTTCTGGCAGTCGCGTGTGACGCCCGGGCTTCTGCTGGCGCGTTCGCGGTTGACTTCTCGGCCGGCACTTGCGCTGCGCCGTTGATTATCTGCCTTCCCGTGCGCTGTGCCCCAGCCTCGTTCACACCGCCCTCTGGACTTTTCCTTGCGGGCCGCGAATCAAAAAGCGCATCCCCACCAGCCCATCCACAAACGATGCGTAGGGGAGTTGACGGAAGGAGGGAAGGAGAGAAACACATAGTCACACCGAGCGGGCAACAACGGTGAATTGGGAGATATGTTGTGGTGAAGCTTGCATGCGTTGCTGCTGGTGCTCTTGCTCCTGCTGATACTGCTTCTGCTGCTGTTGCTGCTGGTGTTGCTGGTTCTCGACCAGCGACTGCCCAGGCGAATGGAGGTGATCAGGGAAGTGAGGGAGTACACAGAGTAACCAAGGGCTGGGAAATCTGTCTAATCCAAGCTGGCGAGGATGGAGGAGGAATCAGAGGAGGAGAAATTGACGGAGGAGGAGGGGGAGCGGGAGGAGGGAGGAGGGAGGAGGAGGAGGAATAGGCGGATGACGAGGAGGAGGAGGAGGAGGAGCAGGAGGAGCAGGAGGAGAATGAGGAGGAGGAGGAGGAGGAGGAGGAGCAGGAGCAGGAGGAGCAGGAGGAGGAGGAGGAGGACAAGGGCGAGCAGAATGGCCACAGGCCTACTGGATGTTTCTCGGGGTATCTTCGGATGTCTCTCGAAAGTGTCCTGAAGGCCTGTTAGGGCGTCTTGGGAGCGTTTTGGCGGTCCCAGAGGCCTCTTAGAGCGTCTTGGATGCTTCGGGGAGCCTCTTGGGGCATCTTGGGAGTAGATTGGGGGCCTCTTGGGCGCCTCTTGGAGCCCTCATGAGGCGTTTTTGAGAGCCTTGGTGGCGTTATTGGGGCCATCTTGGAGGAGATCGATCAAAAGAGGGAGGGGGGGTTAAGTAGCACCGCCCCTCGGGAGCCTCTAAAACCACTTCTTGGACCACTCTTGGAGCGCTTTTGGAGCGCCCAAGAGGGCCGTTTTGGGGCTCTATTGGGCCCCTCTTGGGGGCTTTCTTGAGCAATTTTGGAGCCATCTTGAAGCCTCGGATGGCCATCGGAAGTGAAACGGCGAGAAAGCGCAAATCACTGGTGCTCCTTAGGTTTTCAAAGAATGTTTGCCTCTTCGAGGCCTCCTTGGAAAACGATTTGGCCTCTTGGAGCCGTCTTGGGACGGTCTTGGAGCTTCTTGGAGCATCTTCGGAGCCATCTTGATGTATCTTAGGCTATCTTGATCAACATCGGAGGTCATCTTAAGCTTTCCGAAGCGCTCTTGGAGCCATCTTGGGCGAACAAGTACCCTCTGACCCCTCGCGAAACGCCCCGTCCAGGTCCAGAGGGGGGGGGTAGGGGGAGGGGTAAGCCCCTCCCCGAAGGGGAAGAAGGAGGGGTGGAAGAAGAAACTTCTCTAACCACCTACGCCCAGAGGGCTGGTGGGATTCCAAACTTCAGGATCACAAGTGGTGAGGAAGTCTCAGGGGAAACGCCCAGCCCGCCCTACCGACGCGTCCGGGGGCGCGACAGGGAGGAGTTGTCCATGAGGAAAAGGTTTGGAGGAGAGAAGGCGGAGGAGAAAGAGGAGGAGGAGGAGGAGGAGGAGGTGGTGGGAGAGGAGGAGGAGGAGGAGGAGGAGGAGGAGGAGGAGCAGGAGGAGGAGGAGGAGGAGGAGGAGGAGGGAGGATCAGTAGGAGGAAGAGAAGGAAAAAGGAGGAGGAGGAGGAGGGAGAAGGGGAGGAGGAGGAGGAGGAGGAGGAGGAGCAGGAGAGAAGAGGAAGAGGAGGACGGAGGAGGAGGAGGAGGATGGAGAGCACTAGGGCGCAGGGGCGGCTGCCGGCGTAGGGACAGCGGAAGAGGCGGCGGAGGAGGAGGAGGAGGTGCCTTCTGCGGGCGGGCCGGCCCACAGGCGACCAACATTGCGTCAGGTATTTCCGAGAAGATCACCGCCAGCGGCGGGCGCCTGACCTCCTCCTTCGGCTAGGCCGGCAGTCGCCGGCGGGACGCGATGGGGCTCTCGGGGAGGGCGGGGGGAGGATCGTGTTTGTTTGTGTGTGGTAGGCTCCTCCTCGGCGCCTGAACCATAACTTGGTGAGGATAATGACCTCTGGATAATAAAGACCGGGGTCCAAGCGGTAGAGTGCATTTTTTTCTGAGATATCGGTGTTTGGATGTCTGGATCACGTTTTGACTGAGACATCCTCACAATCAGAGCTACGACAGGAACTTTGGAGGGGATGGTAAAGTTCGGCCTCCCCTCCTGCTGTTTCAACTGAACCACATTCAAGCCCGTGGATAAAGAGATACAAGGGGAAAGGGGGGATGCTTTATCATTCGGGGGATGCGGTTCATTCGCTTGTTGTGGCATCCTCACGCCTGCCTCGAACGCAACGGGGTTCGCCTGACGCCGCCGATCAACAGAGTGTACAATAAGCTCGTGTCGTGCCCCAAGGAAGCGCAAACATGGATAAAGGCGCGGGGGCCGTCGACGGGTCCAGCCTCCATGCAAAGTCGAGTGTTCAGAAGGGGATAAAAACACACAGACACAATTGATCGTCGATTCCCCAGAAAATATTGGGAAATACGGGAATTGGGGGGGAAGACAGGAACCCAGAAGATATGGGAACATATGGGGAATCCTGTTATTTGTGTCTATTTCCCAACCATCCTGTGGTGTTGGGTCCTCGTTTTGAAGAGACAGCGCCCCGCGTCCACTCCTCCCGCTGCCCCCTCCCCCCTTCCCCTTATCCCTGCGTTTCACCCACCCAGCACAGCGTTTCGCAGCCCCATAGGGAGCTCCACCGAAGGCCCCACTGGCAGGGTTCGCATGGCGGCCTCGGGCCATTTCGGCACACCCCTCACGAGGATCGTGGCCCCATAGGGAGCTCCACCGAAGGCTCCAGTGGCAGGGTTCGCATGGCGGCCTCGGGCCATTTCGGCACACCCCTCACGAGGATCGTGGCCACATAGGGAGCTCCACCGAAGGCGCCAGTGGCAGGGTTCGCATGGCGGCCTCGGGCCATTTCGGCACACCCCTCACGAGGATCGTGGCCCCAAAAGGGAGCTCCACCGAAGGCGCCATTGGCAGGGTTCGCATGGCGGCCTCGGGCCATTTCGGCACACCCCTCACGAGGATCGTGGCCCCATAGGGAGCTCCACCGAAGGCGCCAGTGGCAGGGTTCGCATGGCGGCCTCGGGCCATTTCGGCACACCCCTCACGAGGATCGTGGCCCCATAGGGAGCTCCACCGAAGGCCCAGTGGCAGGGTTCGCATGGCGGCCTCGGGCCATTTCGGCACACCCCTCACGATGGCGTGGCCCCATAGGCACAACCGATCCCCCTAGGGAGCAGGGTTCGCATGGCGGCGCATGGCGGCGGGCCATTTCGGCACACCCCTCACGAGGATCGTGGCCCCATAGGGAGCTCCACCGAAGGCTCCAGTGGCAGGGTTCGCATGGCGGCCTCGGGCCATTTCGGCACACCCCTCACGAGGATCGTGGCCCCATAGGGAGCTCCACCGAAGGCGCCAGTGGCAGGGTTCGCATGGCGGCCTCGGGCCATTTCGGCACACCCCTCACGAGGATCGTGGCCCCACTGGAGCTCCACCGAAGGCGCCAGTGGCAGGGTTCGCATGGCGGCCTCGGGCCATTTCGGCACACCCCTCACGAGGATCGTGGCCCCATAGTTGTGTTGCTTCAACAACCGCGCCTGGGCGTCGTACTCCGCCTTGTCGACGTGCAACGCCACCTCCTCCCTCATGGCTCTCAAGGCCCTCTCCTGCTTCTGCTCCTCGGTGAGAGGGACGCCGTCCTTGTCGTCGTCGGCGCCCGCGAAGACGGCCACGA